TATAAAATGGGCTTTGGGTCAGATGATTTTGCCCAATTGTAGGCTAATGTAGGTGTTGTAAGCACATGTAAAGCAGGCTAGGCTAAGCTACATGTTTTGTAGATGAGGTATATTAAGCGCATTTCAACTTAATGATATTTTCAACAGATGATGGGGTTATCAGGATGCAACCCCTCTGTAAGTTGAGGAAGATCTGTAATTAGGAGGTGAGACATTTTGAGTATTTGTTGCCTTTTGTTTTTTAATAGAACTTAGTTGTAAGTTTCTATAATTTAATTTTTTAAATGATTTTTAAAATTTATTTGAGAGAGAGAGAGAGAAAGCACGCGTGCAGGTGCAGGATGCAGGGAGGGGGAGAGGGAGAGAGAGAGAGAGAATCTTAAGCAGACTCCCCGCTGAGTGCGGAGCCCTACACAGGGTCGATCCCAGGACCCTGAGATCATGACCCGAGCTGAAATGAAGAATTGGATGCTTAACTGACTAAGCCACCTAGAAGTCCCTCTCTAATTTAATTTTTAACAACAGTTGTGTCTTATCATGGCTCCCCAAATTGCTGAAATGGTGACGGTTGCTCCTCCGATGGGTGTGGAGCTGGCTCCAGCACATCACTGGTCGACAGCCTCTTACACGTGGCGTTTCTCATGCTACCATGAAATCTGCACTCCTCCGAGATACGAGATTGCCTTCACACACGTCTTCCTGGGCATACATCCCCTCATCCATACACAGATCTATTCTGACACAAAATATGTGAGGAAACCTCTTCTGCTCAGCCTTGCTCATTACCTCCTCCATTCTTCCCCCCAGAACAACCAACCAAACTGACCTACACTTTCATGGAAACCTCAGAGCATGGAGGCAAAAGAAAGAAACAATACTGAAAGGGAATACTTAAAATGGAGGGAAAGTAGAGAGAAGGAGACAAAGGAAAGAGAACAGAGGGCAGGGAGGGAAAGGGCAGATGTCATGCCTGCCCTGTTCCTCTGCTGGAAACCCCGACTACGGAACACCAGGACATATGGAACATCAAGTACACTGAGCTGCTTTGTGTCTCACTGGAGCCCTGGTTCCCAGCCCTCAGCCCCAATGTGGGCCTGAGGGGCGAGGGTGAAGGCAGGAAATGGCTCTAGAAACAATCTGTTGCAGTGAGAGGTTTCTCCCTATGAGAAGAACTCTGAAATGTGGTCGCCAGGGAACCCATGAGCGCTGGCAGTTCCAAAGCTCTGTCAGACAAGCTCCTGAGAAGTGTGGACTGAAAACATGGCATTTAAGCTCAAAATGGCAGCTGGGAGATGTTAACACTTCTTTTCTAATTGGGATAGTATGCTTTTAAAATAAATAGGTATTTCAAATGCTCTTAATTATACTTCCATCCAGAGTGTTTTCCATTTGAAGTCTGCTGATTACTTCAGGCAAAGCTGGGCCCTGTTGAACCTGACACCTGCTGTAATTCAAGAGAAGGCTCCCAGACAGAGGAGCAAGAGGAATTGCAGAGAAGACATGCAGCCATTTTCCACGGGCCCAGGACTGTCTGGGATTGGGGTGGGGAGGCGGTCAGAGAGGATGGAACATCTCTTGCTCTGAAAGCCCCAGGAACTGACCGGTGTTTTCCAGTTGTTGTTTCTAGTCACGCAGCATCATGAAGACTGGAGAAGAGGCCACATGGCAACCCTCAGATACAGGGTCTAAAGGCAATCCTTAGGGATGCCGCCCCACCCAGTGACTTACTGGTGAGGCCCAAGGGTCACCTTGGCACAGCTTCCCAACAGAGGTCCTTAAGACCTTCCCTAGCCCAGCCCTATGAGCTGGGGCCCCGGGGGAGTCCTGGCTGCTTCCTGAGAAGCAGTCAGGAGCATCTCAGCTCTGACTCCCCACCTGCATCTCTGGCCATGGGAGGGCCAACCTGGTATGTTGACCTGAACTTTCAGCGCCAGGGTCAATGGTGGGAAGCTCAAGTTCTGGTCAGTGTGCCTCAGGATTCCTTCTTCTTTGTTTCTGATGCAACCAGTGGCTATGTGACTTGTTCATTATTATTACTGAAACTAAACAACCCACCTTCCTAATAATCCAAATTACTGTAGTTCAGTAGGTCATCTCTCTGACTCTGGGGCTCTCCTCCATCTCCCCTCTAGAGGTCCTGGGTGTTGGAATTCTCTAACTTCAGGAGGTTCCAGGGGCCAGGCCATCTCAAGGGAACCCTGTGTTTGGAATACATGAATTGCTTATTTAATCAGAGCACTCTAAGCAATTGGTCCCAGGTCAGCTGGAAAGGAAACAAGGTGGTCGTGCCCCAAATACTTGCTCCACCAGCCTTTCCGGGAGCTGAACTCTCCCCCCAGGTGACTTCCTTGGGTCCCATATCAAAAGCGGGGGATTTTCTGCAGCTGTCCACTGCTTGAAAGGTGCCAAGTTCCTCTTAGAATATCATTGTTTTGGTTAGTGTTTGCGTTATTAATGTATTAAGTGAGCCCATCATTGTTGGCAGTGAAGAGCATGGGGGCTGAGAGCACCAGGTGTGTACTCAGAGACCTGGGTTCACATCATAGTTTCAATGATTTCTAGCTATGTGACCCTGGGCAAGTCATTGAATCACCTGCATCCCAAAAAATGCACTACTTCTAAGGACAGTTGCAAGGCAGAAAGGAGGCCATGCATATACACAGCCGTGCCCGGGGTGGTTCAGAAAACAGTCGCTGTCTTCATCACCCATGGTTACTGTTAGGATTAGTTAGTAGCAGCTCTGGAAAGCTCAGAGTAGAGCCCTGAGTCACTGGGACCTAGGGGTGAACTTAAGTTGGGGTGTGGGGTGGAAAGGTCAGGAGGATGAGGCAGCAGCTGGGAAGGCGGGGTGCCAGGCTGGAGAGCTGGGAGCAAGCACGCAGGATGGGGGTAACTAGTCCCAGAGAGGAGAGGCATCCAGAGGAAGCTTCACTGACAGCAAACCTTGCTTTCCTTAACCTTCTTGAGGGTTCTAGATGGATTTCTTTTTTTAATTAATTATTTTTATTAACATATAATGTATTTCCTTTACTGTGCAGAAGCTTTTGATCTTGATGAAGCGAAGTTCATTTTCACTTTTGTTTCCTTTGCCTTTGGAGACATATCTTGAAAGAAGTTGCTGTGGATGATATCAAAGAGGTTACTGCCTATGTTTTCCTCTAGGATTCTGATGGATTCCTGTCTCACGTTGAGGTCTTTTATCCATTTTGAGTTTATCTTTGTGTACAGTGTAAGAGAATGGTCGAGTTTCATTCTTCTACATATAGTTGTCCAGTTTTCCCAGCACCAGTTTTTGAAGAGACTGTTTTTTTTCCACTGTATATTTTTTCCTGCTTTGTCGAAAGGAAACAATCAACAAAACAAAGAGGAACCCACGGAATGGGAGAAGGTATTTGCAAATGACAGAAGATATTTGCAAATGATATTTGCAATTGACAGATATTTGCAAATGACAGACAAAAGGTTGATATCCAGGATTATAAAGAACTCCTCAAACTCAACACACACAAAACAATCATATAAAAAAATGGGCAGAAGATATGAACAGACACTTCTCCAATGAAGACATACAAATGGCTATCAGACACATGAAAAAATGTTCATCATCACTAGCCATCAGGGAGATTCAAATTAAAACCACATTGACATACCACCTTACACCAGTTAGAATGGCCAAAATTAGCAAGACAGGAAACAACATGTGTTGGAGAGGATGTGGAGAAAGGGGAACCCTCTTACACTGTTGGTGGGAATGCAAGTTGGTGCAACCTCTTTGGAGAACAGTGTGGAGATTCCTCAAGAAATTAAAAATAGAGCTTCCCTATGACCCTGCAATTGCACTACTGGGTATTTACCCCAAAGATACAGATGGAGTGAAAAGAAGGGCCATGTGTACAGTAGCAATGGCCACGGTCGCCAAACTGTGGAAAGAACCAAGATGCCCTTCAATGTACGAATGGATAAGGAAGATGTGATCCATATACACTATGGAGTATTATGCCTCCCATCAGAAAGGATGAATACCCAACTTTTGTAGCAACATGGATGGGACTGGAAGAGATTATGCTGAGTGAAATAAGTCAAGCAGAGAGGGTCAATTATCATATGGTTTCACTGATTTGTGGAGCATAACAAATAGCATGGAGGACAAGGGGAGTTAGAGAGGAGAAGGGAGTTGACGGAAATTGGAAGGGGAGGTGAACAATGAGAGACTATGGATTCTGAAAAAGAACCTGAGGGGTTTTGAAGGGGCGGGGGGTGGGAGGTTGGGGGAACCAGGTGGTGGGTATTAGGGAGGGCATGGATTGCATGGAGCACTGGGAGTGGTGCAAAAACAATGAATACTGTTATGCTGAAAAGAAATAAAAAATTAAAAAAAAAGAAACATTACCACATTCATAAAAGAAAAAAAATTATATGCTAAGAAGTTATTCACATTATTAAATATTGTGGTACAAAATAAAATGATTTTGTAATAATAAAAAAAATATAATGTATTATTTGCCCCAGGGGTACAGGTCTGTGAATCATCAGGCTTACACATTTCACAGCACTCACCATATCACATACCCTCCCCAATGTCTATAACCCAACCACCCTATCCCTAGTCTACTCCCTCCAGCAACCCTCAGTCTATTTTGTGAGATTAAGACTCTCTTATGGTTTGTCTCCCTCTTGATCCTATCTTGTTTCATTCTTTCCTTCCCTACCTCCCAAACCCCTCACCCTGCCTCTCAAATTCCTCATAGCAGGGAGATCATATGATAATTGCCTTTTTCTGATTGACTTATTTTGCTTAGCATAATACCCTCCAGTTCTATCTATGTCATTGCAAATGACAAGACTTCATTTCTTTTGATGGCTGAATAGTATTCCACTGTATATTTATATACCACATCTTATTTATCCATTCTAGATGGATTATTTTTTAGCTAGGTTTCCAAGACCACACAGCTTGTCTTACCTTCACCTTTTTCCCTCAGACTTCACTTTGTACCTACCTAGAGCTACCTGCTGCATATGTCGCTGGGTGATTTCTTCCTTCAGGTGACCTGTCAAATACACAAAGGAAAACCATTAGTGAGTTTCCTGCAGGTTGGAGGAAGACTTTACCTCCAAAGCATGTAAGCAAAAAAACAAAAACAAAAACCAAACCAAACCAAAACCATCCAAACAAACAAACAAAAAACCCAAAACAAACAAACAAACAAACAAGGTAGAGTAAGGAAGATAAAAGTGGGCATAGTTTCCAAGAAGAGCCCTCCATGCACTGGATGGTGTTGGAAGAACAGGCTGGCATGCTGGCTTCTTGGCACATCGATGCAAATACACATTTCACTTTTGGGTTCAATTCATCTTTGGGTTCAGTTACCATAGGCTGTCACTCGCAACATTTGTTGGGGCCCTAGTCTCCTCAGTAGTTCTATCTGTCTATTATTAATGAAAGGGGTGGCAGGATTGGATCCTATAATAATGTACAGGGCCATTTTTAAATCTACTTTTTTCTTTTAAGCTGTTTGAAACTGTGTCAAGGAATAAAGATGATGGTTTTAGATAACCTTAATATGAACACAGTAGCTGATCATTTACTATGAAACATATATTATTCTAGGTTGCATTAATAAAGGTATAGTGTGTAGTTGAAGGGAGGTGAAGGTGGTAGACCCTGCATATACTCTGTCGTGGTCAGACCACAGTTGGCATTTGTTCTGGGAGTTTACTCTTCATAAGGAATACTAGTCAAATAGAAAATATTTATAGAAAATGGTTAGGGGTCTAAAACCATGCTATACAAGAAATATTTGAGGTAATTTGAGATGTTCAGATGGAGAAGGAAAGACTTGGAGGGAGAAGAGTCTCAGAGATAATGGCTCTCTTTAAAAATCTGAATGTTGTTGGGGTGTCTAGGTGGCTCAGTCAGTTAAGCATCTGCCTTTGGCACAGGTTACTTTCCAGGGTCCTGGGATTGAGCCCCACACCAGGCTCCCTGCTCAGTGTGGAGTCTTCTTTTCCTTCTCCCTCTGCCTTCCCCCCATAGTCATGATTTCTCTCTCTCTTTCCTAAATAAATAAAATCTTAAAAAAAAATCCAAACCTTGTCATCTGGATGAGAGAAGAGATTTATCTTTGTCCCACTGCTGAGGGCAGAAGTCAAGTTGAATAAAGACAAAGTAGGGGCTCCATATGAGGAAGAAACAATTCACAACGAACGCTGTCTCCACATGGATTGAGTTGTCTCTAACCGGACTACATTTCCTGGCAGAGCAGCGAGGGCCTTCCTGACAATGTTCAAGCACAGGCTGGGGAACAGTTTGTGGGGTGTGAGAGCAAGAACCCCTGCCCTGGGGAGGACTTGGGGTGAAGTGGCCTTCAGGGTTCCTCCATCTCTATGATACGGCTATGATTTCCTGCTGGACGGTGGAGTGAAGCATCTTCCCCCACCGGGGTTTGTTCATATCCAAGGGCTCAGAAGACTTGTTAAAATGTCAGTGCTGTCTGCATCACATGTCCCATTTGGGAGATGTGATCAGGCCCCTGGGGACCCTGAGAAAGCCTGGGAATTTCACTGCTCCCTGGTCTAATGTATTCATTTCTTCACATGAGGTACATTCGACACCTCAAAGGTGATGACTGAACTGAGTTTTCAAAAGATTAGTAGACAATGAAGCAGTCACAGAAGACCCCATCACTCACAGAAAGTTTCTAGAATACTATGACTGGGAGGCATGGCAGAAGTCATTCACTTTAAGGTCTCACTCAATTCAGGAGTCCCTGCTACTTGTATGACTTGTATGTGTCCAGGCTGTTCCACTGATTAAACTGTATATAAGGAGTTATTGATATGATATTGACACCTGCTCCCCTGTAACTTCCGGATTTGGACCTGGTTGGTTCTCTGGAATAGCACAGAAGAAGGATCCTCTCTCATTGGCAGTGAGGGTCTGAGGATGCCATGATTTCTTCACTTGGACTTGTCCTCTCTGGGTTAAATGTCACCTGTCCCTTCAGCTCCTGCCAGAGTGCAAGTCTGTGCCTTGCCTTTCATGTGTCCCCACTGGAGAGGACTGTGAAGAGAGGAATCCAGGAATTGGGCATAAGCAGTATTGTACCCTAATTCGAAGTGGGGGAGAGTAAGAATTTAGGGAATGTATTGGAGGGGGGGTGGAGCAGTGGCAATCTGGCCCATGGGTGAGAATTGGACCAGTCTGACGCCAACAGGAAAATGATGGGATCTTGTTCTCACTCTCAGCAATATGACCTTCATTGTCTACATCAGTAAAGGGAAGAAGATGGGGGTCCAGGGGTGGTGCTGGGCTGAGATTCCAGTCTATGTCCAACACCACTGAACTGAATTGTAAAGAAGCATAGCACATGCATTTTTCAAATAAAAGGAGGTAGTGCTGTGACAAATGCAACACACCATTTAGACACAGCCCTTGATGGAGAGTAGGTCATTAAGGGCTTTCTTATGCCCACAGCAGGAACAGCCAATGCCGCTGTGGTGCCTGGCCTGGGTCCTGGGTATCTGGCATAGGCACCTTCCACCACGAGCCTCTTCTGTGCCTGGCTACCTCCTTCCTGCTGACACTGGATGGGGACTTGCTCCTTCGGAGGACACACTGGGCTGCATTCCTCCTTGAGAAACTATCTCCCTGACATACTCCCGACAGCTTGTCCCCTGACCATGGGCCTCCCCAGCAGTAGGTCTCCCCAACTACGTAGCTCCCATGCTCATGCCTCACCCCTGAAGGTACTCAGTCTCGTATGGCATGATTTCCCCTGCTCCCAGCAGAATGATCCACTGGACTCCCTTCTCCAAATCCCGGGGAAGCAGGGTTAGAGATTCTCTGGGCGGACCCCAGCCTGGGAAGAGCTGCTCCTGTAAGTAAACAGTGGGATTTGCCCCCAGGACTGCTGGTTCTATAAACTCCGCAAACAGAAATATCTATTCCCAGAACAATGAGACGGGATGGGTGGGTCTTTATAATGCTTTATAATGCCCCTATTGAGAAAGGTAGGTTTAAATTGTGTGCATGGATGTTCAATTTGGGTGACTCGGACAACATTGCCCTCCACATGGCGATCTTTGTTTCTGAGATGTTCCCAAACAAGCATCTAAAAATAGCCTTAGAGCTGATACCTAATTTCATTTTCTACCAGAGCCATTCTTCATGTGAAGATAACAGTCTCTGTAATCGGCTGGATCTTGCAGTTCTACAGGTTTTGGCAAAAGAAGGAGGGGGGAAAGCAGAATTCACTCAGCATGCGGCTTGCTGTCATTAGCATGGTGATAAATTTGCTGGTTTTGGCCGGGGTTCCTGGACACATCTCCATCCTGAGGTATGGAAAAGAGATGAAACGGAAACAGAGAACTCCCAGCCTGAGGCAGGACATGGTCAGGGAGGGAAGCTGGGGCGCGGGGGGAGGCTCGGCTCGTAGGCAAATGGTGGCCATTAGTAGTTTTGTCTACAGTACCTTACAACAGCGCATGCCAGAAACACCTTCTCTCCCTTTCTGATTCACTGATTGCTGGAGTTAGGGTGTTAGCAGGGGGTGAAGGGGTACTTGGAACATGCAATCACCCATGGGGAGCACCAGTGGAGATGCCGTAACCGCCACATGTGGGGTAGCGTGGTTTAGCGATTTTCTGTACCAAGTAGTTCATATGAAAAGTATTATCATCATCGTGAAGAAGCAACACTTATTATTATTATTATTATTTTTTACAATGATAGTCTTTTGGATACAACAGTTTTCCTTACACTTCACATTTTATTTTGCATGCCTGGTAGTTTGAAGTTGGTCACCAAGGGAAAGCTGCTTGAGTGGGATCTGGAGCAAGCCCTTCACTTTGACCCCCACCCAGAATAGGTCCCTCAGGCAGGATGCTTGCGCAATTTGTGTGATGTGGTGCCTTATTGAGGATGCTGACGTCACTACCAGGCAGTAAATATTTCTCGTTCATGAACTATATGTTAAGCACCATGTTTTAAGTGCTGTGGAATAAATAGACTAGTTAAGAAGTCTCTTCTAGTTTGAGAAAGTTAACCTGATACAGGGGACCACAAACAGGGCGCCTGCATGTTCTTCCTGTTAAAAGCTGGACCCCTGGCGGACCTTGCTCTTCCTTCCTGGACGTCTGTGTTCCTGCTGAGCCTGGGTTTGGCTCTTCAACACAGCACTTTGGGCAGCTATATCTGATTGCTGGGAGTTGGCACTGAGATGAAGCAAACTTCTTTGCCATTTTGGTTAAGCTAGAAGATAATTACAAACTTGTAGGTCTACAGATTTTAAGTTCAAATCTCAACTCTGTGACTTCTACTAAGGTACATTACTTAACGTCTCTGAGCCTCCATCTTACCGCTTGAAAAATGGGTCATAGTAAAATAACTGGGATAATATCTGTTTTACCATCTCTCAAGACATTTGGGAGGATAATGGATAATGTGTCAGCATATGTGACACACCAGACTAGTTTTAGGCATGAAGGCACTTTCAGATATATGGAAAAGTTATTACAGTCACAAGATGACTGGCCTGAAGGACGAGTGGTTAAATGTCAAATCAATGGTAAACCTGAGTTTAGAGGAGGAAAGGTAGATTAGCGGCATTAGGAAAGGCATCATCACTCATGGTGAGCCCTGGGTGGATTGTGAAGGGATCAGAGGTGTTAAGGTGAGGGTGGGGAAGGCATGGCAGTCAATGACAATGGTGGGGGCCACAATGGTGGATAAGGCCAGGCATACACTGGTTTGGGGTGGAGGTTGGAAGGGAGGGCTTGAATGGAGGAGTAGGGCTGGGGGGAGACTAAGTTCAGGGTCCAGGGTCATTCCTAAAGGGTCTGGACCCCAGTGAAAATCTGTTCTTCTATTTGACTCTACTACTACAGCAATTCAGTAAATCAAATTAAACTTCAGTAGCAGGATTGGGGTGTGGGGAGAGGACACAGAATTGTGTTGCCTGCCTGAGGGGCCTCTTTGAAAGGAAAGTCTACTTAGTGGGTATGAACTCAGAGTGTGGATTATAGCTGTGACGTGGGATGCCAGTTTCTT